GTGTGTGTGATGTCAGCCACCTGTCTTCCTAGAGTTGCTCACCTGGGAAGGTCACTGGGTCAGGACTGGAGCTTGTGGTAAGAGAGACGCCAGCCAGCACCTTGGACTGGACCCCCCTAGAAAGCTGGCACCCAGGTGGGTCCCCTCCTAGGAAGCCAGCACCCCAGGGCAGCTGGCTGCTCCTGTGTTTGCCCCTCCCACCTCCCAGCTGCGTTTATGCTCCCCCAGCTGCCACCACTTTCAAAACAAGGCTGGCACTGTTGTGGGTGCTACGTTTGGTTACAAAGCACTGTGCACCTGCCCAGCCCTCCACCACAACTGTTTGGCCCACTTGACCTTTCCCAACATGGCCCCCTGCCCTCTCTGATGGCCTGGATTGGGCAGGGGGCTTGGCTGGGGCTGCAGAGTCATGCAGAGGGCCCAGCCCTCTGCATGAGCTCCATGCTCTCACTGGCCTCCATGCAGCTCTCTGCCTTGAGATCTGTGGCTGGGCATCCAAGGAGGAAAGGCACCCAGCAGACACCAGGTCAGCCCATTACCTCGAAGCCTGCTGTGGAGACAGTGACATACCCAAGTAGCTTCTGGGGCACCTGTTGAAGCCCCAAGGCCTGTCCTTGCTCACAGGGACTCAGCCTCAGTAGACCTGAGAAGAATGAGGGGAATCACCACGCCTTCATCAAGCTGGTATCCTGCTGCCACAGTGGGTAAAGCAGAGGCATAGTGTTCTTCCTCCTCCCTTTCTTCCTTCCCTTCCTCCCCCCCTCCTTCCCATTCTTGTCCCCTCACTCCACTCCAGCTCTCAGTGTCAAAGGTCCAAAGTGATATGAAACAGATTTTTCACTACCCACTTGTCTCCTAATGACCCTCATAGCTGCCTGTTGCCTACCAGTGGCAATTCCCTAAGGCAGAGACATGCCTTGGTTCTGGACATTAATGAGGAAACAGCAGCATTTTCCAGGATGAGGGAGGGGTGACTAAACTGTGCCCTTTCTTAGGCTTCCCAGCCTGATGATGGGGCCCAGAAAGGCCCTGATCACTGGTTGGGGTATGGTCTAGTGCCAGGAGTTTGTCAATGTCCCCAGGCCATTCCCTTCCAGTCTGTGGCCTAGGACATGGGGGAGGGGAGGGAGAGACAAACCTCTGGAAGATTCCAGGGGGCTTTAGGCACTCTGGAATCTGTGATCCCAGACTACTCTGAAATCTGAGTCTAGAATGTACTTTACCTATGTGTGCATTTTGCACATGTAACATATATATTCATACATAAGTGAACAAAATCATAACACATATGCACTCCTGGGAAAGAGTAATAGCCAGCTATTTTTGACTACTTTGATAAAATATTTTTCCTTCTGTGGGGGGCAGGGAAGGAGGGGGTGATGGGTGAATATGATGGAAGTATCATGTGTGTGTGTGTGTGTGTGTGTGTGTGTGTGTATGCGCGAAACAGCAGAATGAAACTCACTAAGAACTGTTAGGAGCCATTAACAAGGAACATTACAGACAGCATGGATCAGATCAAGTTCATTGTGTGCATGTTTGTAACTATCAGAATGAAATTCCTCTGTTTTAATTTATGCTAATAAAAACACAAACACAGCTGGGCACCAGTGGCTCTCACCTGTAATCCTAGTTACCCAGGAGGCTGAGATCTGAGGATCGCAGTTCAAAGCCAGCCCATGCAGGAAAGTCCATGAGACTCTTCAATAAACCACCAGAAAACTGGAAGTGTCTCTGTGGTAGAGTGCTAGCCTTGAGCTGAAGAGCTGAGGGACAGCACCCAGGCCCAGAGTTCAAGTCCCACAACCGGCCAAAAAAATAAAATAAAATAAAATAAAAACACAAACACTACTGGGTATCAGTGGCTCATGCCTGTAATCTTAGCTACTTAGGAGGCTGAGATCTGAGAATCAAAGTTTGAAGCCAGCCTGGGCAGGAAAGTCCATGAGACTCTTATCTCCAATTGACCAGCAAAAAAGCTGGAAGTGGAGCTGTGGCTCAAGCTAGAGCACTAGCCTTGAGTGCAAAAGTTTGTGGCCAGAGCCCAGGCCCTGAGTTCAAGTCCCAGAAATGGCACAAAATAAATAGTAAAAGTACTTTTCTGATTATAAACTAAGCAATACTTATTATAAGCCATTAAATTTATATGAAAAAAGTATTTAAAAAGTCAGAAAGCTTCCCAACCTCCAGCACAGGGGAAGTAAGGTTCCTGTCCCCTCTCTGATGGAGTTTTCATCTCTATGTCTGCATCTATGCACATTTAGTGTGTGCCTCACTGTTGGATTGGGAGCTTGTGTTTGATATAGCAACGTGGCACATGAACTTTCTGTCCATCTGCCCCATTACTTGCAGAGCATCTTGCCAAATGCAAGCTCTACTTGCACCTGACAAATGGAACCTGTCATCCCAGCGATGCGGGAAGTGTGAAAAGAAGGATCCAGAACCAGCAGGCCTGGGCAAGACCAAGAGCAAGACCTCCTGGGCGGTGGTGGCTGATAGTTTGGAGCAGCCATGACCAATACTGCATACCAGATGATCAGCAGCAGGGTTCAGGTTCCTGGGGTGGGAGCTATTGAACAAACCTGCCCTGTGCATTTAACAAGTGTTCCAGGGAGGTGCATGATGTCCTCTGGTTCGAGAACCACAGATCTGGAAGGGGCATCAGGGATGGAGGTGGTAAAAGGAGTGGTTGGCCTGGATCTCAAAGCATGAGCAGGAGTTGGCCAGCTAGATGTCCCCAGGGGAGGGGCAGAAGGCCAGGGTGGGGAGGGGAGAGGTGGGAAGAGTAGTTTTAAGGTCAGCAGCAGTCCTGGTGGGTGACGGCTCTGACAGATGCTCTAGCAAAAAGAGCTAGCTGTTCTGGACACACGTATTAAAGACTTTGTCCGCTAGGTGGCACTGTGGGAAGTTAAACTTCAAGAAGTTGGGCCTGATGGGGGAGGGTGCTCTTAAGCTAAACTTTTAGAAGTTGGGCCTGGTTTGGGGGGGGAGGGGGGTGCGTGCTCTTCGGGGAGGGGGGCAGGATTGTGGCCTCACTTACCTCCTCCTCAGATTGCGGCTTGCTGGCAGTGAGTAGAGTGGTTTTTCTCTGCCAAGGACCCCCTCTTGCCATCCAGAAACCCCATGAAGGCCTAGAACAATGAACCTACTTGATGGTGTGCTAGAAACAGAGGGAAAATGAACTTTCCTCTCTGCGAATAAGTTGTCTCCGTGGGTGTGGTGGTGCTGGAAAGATGTCTGTGCCACTGTTCCAGCAGCAGCATTGCCTGTGGGCCGGGTGTTTATTCCAGCCAGCAGAGCTGGGTTGTGTCTGTGGGCATGGGGCTTCAAGACCTGAACTTGTAGGAAACCAGTGCTGGGGGTGGGTGGGTGCAGGGAACTCTGATGGCACCCACAGACCTAAGTCTTGAACTCTGCTTCTCCTGCGTGAGCGGGTCTGGGACACACTCCCACCTTGGCGAGTGTGGGAGGGTGTGGGGGTCTCAGGCTGAGTGTGAAGCTCTGAGTCACTCTTGTCTTCACCACAAGGTGGCCTTTGCAACTCTGCTTTTGAAGCAGGCCATCAGTGTCTGCCGCAAAGATCTTGAAGAAAATGAGAGAGAGAGAAAAAAATACCATCCCATTTTTTTTTCTTCTTCTATGGTGCCTAAAGGAAACAATTTTCTGGTTGTGGTAGCATACACATTTGTAATTCCAGCTATGTATGGGAGAGGCTTAGGTGGGAGGATTGTGGTCTGAGGCTGCCCTGGGCAAAAAGCACAAGAGTCTGTCCCCAAATAAACAAACATGAAAAGGGCTGAGACTATCCCTTGACAGATAGAGTGTCAAAACCATATGTGTATATTTCACACACACACACACACACACACACACACACACACACACACACAGAGGAGTTAGAGCTGGGGCTTGCTTGATAGTGTGCTTGCCTTGTAAGTGCAAGGTCCTGAGTTCAAACCCCCAAACCACTGCCACAAAAACAACAGAACAAAAACAGCCAGGCAAGCCATCTGTGATTCATTCCTCTTCCTTTCCCCACTCGTTTCCCTCTGTGATACCATAACCCTGAGTCTGGAAAACTCTTGCCACTACCTGAGTTTTTCAAGTGCTGGTAGCAAGTCATGTTTCCCACACTCACCCTAGTGAGAGGCTACGAAGGCCTGATTACAGTTTTCACCTGGGAATGCCTGGCCCCTGGTCCAGGCTGTGAAGTCCCCCTGCTTAGGCAGGAATAGAAATGAGAATCTCTTGGTTGAGGAAGGAAACAAGATGGCCATTTCTCATAGGTGGCCCTGTACCCTTGGATAAGTTGAGAATATTTTCCTTTTTAAAGTGTTCGGTACAGGGCCAAGTTATCCCATTTTCTCTCTGATCTCAAATTGAGGGAGGTGTTGGGGAGCTGGATGTGCTCCATGGGCTGGATGTGCCTTCACTGCCCCCTGCTGGCCAATCTTAGACATGTCTCCTCTATAACAGTGAAGTAAGCTGACACAATGCTGGGGATACGGATTGCCAGATTTACAAAAGTAGCCTGAGATTGAATTTGTTGAATGAAAAATCATCCAAAACATAGTGAGCTTTAAAACATCTACCTTTGCAGACATTAAAGTCCTTTTTGGCTCTGTTCATTCTTTGTGAAAGGATGCACTGAATTCAGGACATTTCTTCCGTATGGCCAAGGCCATTTCTCTCTCCCACAGTGAGGGCCTTTCCAGCAAGCATCTGCACCCTCCCTGAGCCTTGAGTGCTGTTTTTGATCTAAGCAGAGACAGTGTTCCTCCTGTTGGTGGCTGTGGTGTTCTTTCAGTTGTTTATGTCGGCCTTCAGTGTGGACCCTAAACAACTCAGTATCATCTTTCTGGGAATGAAAAGTGAGATTTAAAGTGAGTCAAACTTAGCATTTCTACCTGATCATGCTTTCTTTCTTTTCTCCACAGCTTAGGCCTGTTCTGTGGACACATGTGCTTTGTTCTTAATTATATCTTTTTTTTTTATTCCAGTTGCGAATGAAGCTGGAGACAAGAATGCCAGGCCTCTTGCCCGCTTCTCCCGTGAGTACATTTATTTTGCTCTCTCAGAACACCTTGGTTTCCCAGAGCCCACCCTTGTATGGCTCACCCCGTTAGCCCTGTTAGAAGTGGAAACAGAACCATCATTTCCCAAATAAGTTTTATCCCACAGCTCAGGGAGGATGGTGAATATGCTCCTGTTCCTTTCTTTTCAAGGATGGTCCAGTAAATGAATACCCTGGGGCCATAGCTGAGCCCTGCAGGGGGTAGCGTGTGCCCCTTGGGGAGTTCCTGACTCTGTCAGAGGAGGAGGCGGGGGCAGTCCTGAAGCCTGAAGCTGGGAGCCCCTGTGTGGATAAAGGAGGCTCATCTTGCACGTGGCTTCTGTGACTTCTAAGCTGTGTGGCTGAGTTGGAAGAATACTTCCCACTTGATAACTTATTACCTGGAGATCAGTAAGGATGTGAGAAAATGCATATAACAGAAAGAGAGAGAGAGAGAGGACAGACAGACAGAGACAAAGAGAGACAGAGAAAAGAGAGAAAGAGAGAGGGGGGAGAGAGACACTTAGTGCAGTGTCCTGGAAGAAGTAATGTGTTGCATTAGCTCCCAAGTCTTTGGTCGCCTGCACACAGAGGCAAACACTGAGGTCTTTTAGGGAGGAAAATGAAATCTCAGCGTGTCATTTTGAACTGTTGTTGGTTCACCGTGGGAATGCAGTGTGCAGCCAGCCACACAGACAGATGCAAAAGCCCTGCCAGCTTGTGTGGAGTGCGATCTGACCATGGAGCAGGAACTGTACTATGTGGTTTGGGGCCCTGGGGTCCAGAGAAGCCTCTGGGTAGGGGGAGGCGCTGCTGGAGTTGGTGCTGCTGGTGGTCTACACAGTGCTTCCTGAGCCTTGGGTCCTGCCTGAGGCCCCCTACCTGGCTGGCTCCCTCTTTGACTGTGATGAGTCTGACTTCAGTTGGGATCATGTCCCTGGTAGCCACAGGAGAGGCAGAGCTGGGAAGTCGGATTTCATCCCTGTCCCTCAAAAACTGCAGAAGAATGAAATGTCCAAGAGGATGGGGAGTCATGGATAACCTTGAGTTGGAGGCCACTTGAAGTAATCCAGGGCAGTTTGGCCTTGATGGCCAGCTGGTTTATGAATACCAGGAGCTTGGCTGCCCTGGGTGGGAGCCTGTGTGCAAGGGTGTGGAGGGTACAGAAGAAAGAAACACAGTGGTCATGAGGGAATAAAGACCACATGTATTATTGGGTAAGGCCACAGGGAGGCAGGATGGTGCAGACTTCCACCTGTTTATCCACTCTAGACCTACCAGAGGCTCTGTTACCATGGGTCAGCATCTCCCACCCTGTGTATGTGGGGGTGGGGGTGGGGGAAGGGGAGAGGGATTACTGCCCCAAATCTTGTAGTTGGGCAGTTCCATCCTGGAGTTTAAACTGCCTCCCTAAATGAGTGGAGAATAATTTCTCCTTGAGAAAAGCAATTATGGAAAAAAATAATAGTATCAAAAGCAGGGGAACTGGAGGCTTGGAGACTCACAGCAACGCCTTCAGCATATGCTTCCTGCCTTGGAGGGGGCATCCAGGGGTCCTGTGGATGAGCTGGACTGAGCAGGGAGAGGCAGCACTTGGTTGGTGTGGGCTGGATGAACCATCCCCTCTTCTGGCAGAGGTGGGCAGGGGAATGTGTTGTGTGCCTGGGAAGGGTAGAGGGTGGGGCACTGTTACGTGGCCGTGCTCAGGTGTAGCTACCCAGGGAAGGTTTAGCCTGAGCTGCACTACTAGGAGCTTGGCCTGGAGAGGATAGATTATGGAAGATGGGAAAGAGGTTGAATGGAGGGCTGGGCTGGTGGCTGGGATTTCTGTGTTCTCAGGGCCTCATGCTCAACAATAGTCAAGACCTCTCACCTCTGCTTCCCATGTTTCTCAGTAAAAAGTTGTATTAAAGCAGGTGCTGATGGCTCGTAATCCTAGCTACTCAGGAGGCTGAGATCTGAGGATTGCCAGCTTGGGCAGGAAAGTCTGTGAGACTCTCTCTCTCTCTGTTAGTCATGGGGCTTGAACTCTGGCTTGGGTACTATCTTGGCACTCTTCAGCTCAAGGCGAGCGCTCTACTGCTTGAGCCACAGCACCACTTCCGGTTTTCTACTGGTTTCTAGTTATCTCCAATGATGGAGATAAGGGTCTCATGGACTTTTCTACCCATGCTGGCTTTGAACTGTGATCCTCAGATCTCAGCCTCCTGAGTAGCTAGGATTACAAGTGTGAACCACCAGCGCCCAGCCCCGTGAGACTCTGATCTCCAATTAACCACCAAAAAGCAGGAAGTGGAGCTGTGGCTCAAGTGGTGGAGCACCAGCCTTGAGCACAAAAGCTCAGAGAGCACCTGGGCCCTGGGTTCAAGCCCCAGGACTGGCATATACACAAAAAAAGGTATGCTGATGATGGTAGCTATAAGATTTCTACATATCAGGGGCTTAGAGGCAACAATCGAGCAGAGTCCTGTGCACATCACAGCCTTGGAGAATCAAGGCTCCAGGGGACCTGGTGTGTGGTGGAGACAGGGGCAGAGTCAGAGGTGGATCGGGGCGGAGTCATGAGCCAGACCTAGGCAGAACCTGGTCAGGGGCGGAGCCACGATTGGGCGGAGTCAGGGGTGGAGTCATGGGCTGGGTCAGGGCAGAGCCTGGGAGGGGGCGGGGCTGGGGCAGAGCTGCCCAGTGCTCTAGTTCGATTTATGTATTTCTGCAGTCTGCTATGGAGAACTTCATGGATGTAAGACAGCATGTGTCCTTACCAGATAACAGTACACGACTGCGAAGCAACAATACACCAGTGTGGCTGTTATTTCCGTCTTTCTGGAAGGTGTGGGGGCTGGTGGGGTGGGAGGGGAACCCACAATCTCACCTCCCTTGAATTGTCAGCACACTTGAATCATATCTCCAGCCCAGCTTTTTGTTGGTCATTTTAGAGATGGAGTCTCATAGACTTCCCTGCCTGGGCTGGCTTTGAACCTCAGGCCTCCTGATTTTAGCATTCTGAGTAACCAGGATTATCAGCCTAGCTCACTGGTGCCTGGAAATTCCTGCCATTTTATACATAAATGAGATACAGTATGTTTTCTGCCAGGTCCCTAGTTCACGGGGAAGGCCAAAGAGATGCAGCCAGGCTGCTGAACTCAGAGTAGCGTCTCCTTTACCCTCTCTTGTATGTTCTTTGAATAAAATTAGGATGAAGTTTTGGGTTCCAGGCAAGAGGTAGACCAGAATCAACTGAATATTCTCTCACTTTTTTTTGATACATAGAAATACTGAACGAAATATTTTCAAAGCACTTTAAAATGCAAAATTCCCTTGTGATGGAAAGAATCCTACAGGGGCGAGAAATGGAGGAGGAATTTCCTGTGAGTGATGCTGGCTGGGATCGCAGCCCTGAGCCTGCTCCTGTGCTGTGCAATATGAAGAGTTGGAGTTGCCTAAACTCAGACCCTGAAAACATATGGCAGATTTTGTTTTCCAAAAATATTTGCATCTCAATCTCCTTCCCACACATTTTTCTTTCCATGTGATGTGACAAACCTCCTACAAGATGAGAAATCTGCATCCTCTCCCTCTGAACTGGGGGAGGGGGCAGGCTGAGGTAGAAATATGATTGGACTTGGAAAGCTCCATCCACAGAGGTAGGGCGGGGTAGGGGGTGGGGAACCTTCCACCTGCTGCCTGTGGGACCCTTGTTCCTCGACCATTGTCAGCCTGCTGTGAGGAGCCAGAGTCCTTGTGGAAGTCCTACCTCTGAGCCCTCATTCTGTTATACAGCAATTGATAACTGCAGTGAATAGGACACAGGCAAACCAAATATACCTGCAGGGCTGAGGAGGTCAGAAGGAGCTAGCTTGCCTCTTCTGGCTCTTGGGGATAAGTCTTCCTGGAGCGATTGAAATGACTTGCATGGTCCAGCATTCCTTCCCAAGTTGGGTCTGGACTCGTCAAGGCCGAACCAATTCAATTTGACATGCTGCAATGATCAGGAGCAGAAGATGACCACAGAGACACACTGATTTTCTTCCTGACATCAAGGAGATCTTAGTGGGAAACACCTTTTAAAACTCAGCAGTGTCTTCTGCATGGATAGTCAATAGGACTTTTTTAAGGCATCCTAAAAACTGCAAAGTCTATAGATTTAACCTATTGGATATGCTGAATATAACTGTCACCCGCAGACACAGCGTGCTAGGTTGATAGCTATAGTGAAGATGGTGACCTATTCATCCATCCTCTGTTTCAGATGTAGCGCTCAGGTCCCAACTGTCCTTTATAGACAGGGTCTTCCATTTGTATTGCGTTCGTCCTGGAGAGAGGAGTCGATCTTAAATCCTCTAGTGACTCATGGGGATAAGGGGCCTATGCCTTGATGAATCTGGCTGTTTCTGTGTTCATTTAAGAATTTAGGAGTCAGGGGAATTCTGACTTATGAGAGGCTCATGATCTCCAGTCACCAGTTACTGCCTTGCTTCCCTTGTACAAATCTCTATGGAGCACTGCGCACCAGCACAGTGCCAGGCCCCTGCCTTCGGCAGCAGGAAGACCAGGCAGAGGCTGTGGCTCCTGCCATGTTGGGTATTAGGCCTCGGCCAACTCTTGTGTGGTCACATAGAGTCTTGCCGGCCAGGAAGCATGAAGTTCCAGGGGCTTTGTCTCATAGCCCAAGTTCTGAACCACCTCTTCTACCAGTGATGGTCATGTACATGTATACACCACATACACATATTCATACAATATACACACATAGACACATACACATCCATATACACATATACACACGTGCACACATACATACACACATAGACATACACATTCATATACACATATACCATATATATATACATCACAATACACGTATACACATACGCACACACATGTACACCTACATATCCACACACATATACACTGTGCACATACACATGCATATATACATAGACATACATAGACACACACATATACATCTACATGTATACATGCACACATACACATACA